GGGGGGGGGGGAGATGGTTGGGGGGGTGGAGGGGGAGATGGTAGGAGTGGGGAGGGGATGAGGGGGGAAGATTGTGGGGCTGGCAGAGGAATGGAGGTGGGGGGAGTGCAGGAGAGATGGCTGGTCGCACTGAGACTCTATCTGTTCTGTGTTTTGGTTGCTCAGGGGCTCACGATGGCTCACAGCCTGCCTGGTGACAGCCGGGATCTTCCTCTTCCTCCTGCTGGTCTCTGGCTGCCTGCTGCGAGTTGGCCTCAGCTTGTTTTGTCAGGGCCTTCTCTTGGAAGCTGGTGTCAAGAGGTAACAATGAGAACCGGGGCCTGGCCAGGGAGGGGCAGCGCCACATGGTTGCCCTGGACCCTGGCAGGGGGCACGTTCCGACAGGTTTGGGAGTGGGATGGTGAGGGCAGAGAAGGCAAGGGGCTTCCAGAAGCTAAGTTAGCAGGGCCAGCACCAGTGGGAGGGAAGGGGGAATGTGCGCCTCATACTCATTACAAAATTAAGCGAGGCCTGAAGGATACAGGGCAGCCGGGAGAGAGAAGATTTGCATTTCCCTAGCGCCTTTCACCAATTCGGAACCTCGCAGCCAACAAATCACATTTTCCTTGTTTTTGAAGTGGGGTCTGTTCCATTATTGCAGCCAATTGTCACACAGCAAGATCCCACGCACAGCAATGTAGGTGACCCACATTCGTTTGCTTTTTGTTTTTGAAACCAATGTTGGGTTTTCTTGGTTGAATATCTCATCTGACAGCGCGGTGCTCCCTTGGCACTGGCCCCCATCGATCAGGCAGTATTTCTTTTGCGATTTGTGTTGTCCTGGACGTAGATTTGATGCTTATCTGAGTGAGCTGGGAGTTACGAAAGGAGCAGAGCTTCGTGAGAAGGCTGCGCGGTTGGGATGATGGAACAAATTCGGAAAGAAAACTCCGACAGTGCCAGAGTCTAATCACTTCTCTTCCTTTAGCTGCTCCGATGGTGAGAAAATGGACTGGACGTCGCCATACGACGGTTCCCGCTTCTACCAAAACTTTACCAGTGCTGAGGTGAGACTGTGATACCATTTTACTGTGAACCGTTCCATTTAATTGTAAGTTATTTGTGTTCTTCAGTGCCTTTTTCTCGTGCCTGACCCCACCAACCCCCACTCCTTTCCGACTTCAGCTCATCCTAAATAATGATGCCCCCCTCTCTCAGCCCAGTGTCCTGTAACTCCCCTTGCTCAATGACAACATTTAGAGCCAGGTCCATCCATTTAAAGTTCTCTTTTTCTGTTTTCAACTCCCTTGATCTCTTCCTTATTTCTGTCATCCTCCCTGGCCTCTACACCCCCTCCCTATGTCTGTAACCACGTCCAAACCCAGCCTCTCGAGCATCCTCCGATTCCCATCGTCCTCCATTGAGGGCAGTGCCTTCAGCTGCCTGGGGCCTTGAGCCCAAAAATTTCTTCGCTAAACCTCTGTTTCTGTTTCTCTTTCTCTGATTTTTTCTTTAAGGATCTTCAAACTGAGCTTTTAATACCTGTCCCATTAATTCTGTCTGTGTGGATCCGTTCAAATTCTATCTGATTTGAAGACATTATGAAGTACTTTGTATTAATTTAAAGCAATTTTGTGAATTCAAGTCATTGTTTGAATCTGTTTCTCTCATGAATCCAAGTGAGGGTGGGTCTGAAGTACAGTCTGTGCAGAATTTGGATGGCCTGAATTTGTCTGGGCTAAGCAAACAGACAAGGTTATCAGGGATGGGGGTGAGGAGGACAGAAATCTGCCGGTGCAGGTTGTCCGAGGCAGGATGGCGTTCAGCTCCTGTGGTTGACTAGCCCAAAGGAATGATGGCTTGGCTGAAATAGCAGAGGACAGTCTGTACCCTGGAAACAGTAGGCTCCACTCATGGCCCAATCCTAGCCACCCAAAACAGGAAATCTGTTCCACATGAGGAGAGGGGCTGAATGGCCTGGTCCTGGGCTGGAAAATTGTCGTTGTTCTTGTCGTTTAGGGGGTGGTGGGGAATTCCAGGATTTTGACCCGGCAACGCTGAAGGAACGGCCGATATATTTCCAAGACAGGATGGGGAGTGGCTTGGAGGGGAATGTGCAGAGGGTGCTGTTCCCATGTATCTGCTGCCCTTGTCCTTCTGGATGGAAGTGGATCGTGGGTTTGGAAGGTGCTGTCTGAGGATCTTTGGTGAATTTCTGCAGCGCATCTTGTAGATGGTACACACTGCTGCTACTGAGCGTCGGTGGTGGGGGGAGTGGGATGTTTGTGGATGTGGTGCCAATCAAGCGGGGGGGGGGGGGGTGCTGCTTTGTCCAGGATGGGGTCGAGCTTCTTGAGTGTTGTTGGGTCTGCACTCATCCAGGGGCAAGTGGGGAGTATTCCACCCCACTCCTGACTTGTGCCCTGTTTTTCTTTCGTTTACCCAGATTGCTATCTCACACAACTGAGCGACCTACCCGCCACTAAAATCACCGTGACATTTTTAAATTTAAAACCACTATCCACCACCAGTAAAAACACCCGTGTCGCCAATTCAGTATTTACGAGCAAAAGCCCATTATGGTTAATACGAACCATAAAGGTGAGAGGGGAGGGGTGTAGGGAGTGCGGGAAGGGACTAGATGAAAGTGGAGTTGGGGAAATAAAGCGCTGTATCCCTGCAGTGCCCACCTCTTTCTAAAGGCATCGAGATCATTGATGGGACACTGCATGCTCCCTTTCCATGGACGTCTGGGCTTGAACATAACTGGGGGTTGGAGTGGGGGGGGGGGGGGGGGGGGGGAGGGTTCAGATAGGACCCCCTCCACAGCCCTCTGCCTGGACCTGTTCATAGCCAGCCTGGCCAGGCCCAGGAGTAGACCCACACTGAGGTTCTCCAATCTGCCTTCTGCACTAGGTGGATTTATGCCCCATAGACGATGGACAGGTTCAATTGCACCTTTTTGAAAATAATTGCGTCTTTGCAAGGTGCCCTGAGCACAATTGTTTGCTTGTTTCTGCAGACCTCGACCTGGGTGAACTTCTTCTTTTGGTTAGTGGTATTGACTCTGCTCATTGTGCAGCGGAGGCAGCTCGATGGCTTCAGGCCAATGAATGGGGCCGATCCCGAGTGGAGCACGGCCGTGGCAGGAATCACGTCTGAGACCAAACCCTTAATCCCATCAGGACCCCGGCCTTGAAAGGAAGTGTTGTCGCCGTACTGGAATCATGGAATGAGCTGCAAGAAGAGTGTTTGTGTGTGTGTGTGTGTGTGTGTGTATTTGCCTGTACATGCATTTGTAAAGGCTTCCCCTCCGCACCCCCCCACCCCCATCCTGCTCAAAGAATCCCGCACTACAGACTAAAGCTGAATTCCTGTCATCCCAGCCTTAATGCACTGCCTAACTGGGACTAAGTGCCAACTATTTAGCCTGTGTGTGTGTGTGTCTGTTTGTTTGTGCAGAATATATAAAGCAGCTGCCTTGTGCCTGTTCGAGCAATTCCTTTTTGTTTTTTTTTTGAAATGGTTTATTTTTCTGCAAACCTGGGCAGGTTGCAGTTAAATTCTTTATCCGAGAGCGGTCCGTGAATTGAGGGAAGGTTTTCTGCGGGATTTGTGTAAATACTTGGCGTTGCCGGAAGAGGAGAGAAACCGAGGGAGAAATGAGCAAAGGCTGTCAATTTGTGGGGTGCAGGTGAGTGTTACGTTGTCCCAGAGAATCTGAGGCAGTCACCTGTTGGGCCAGCAACACCTTTGCAGTGACATGTGGACAAACCGTTTTTTTGCAACAAATCATCCGTCACACAAAGCTTCTTTCTTTGCACTCGACAATTTGCAAACGTGCAATTTAAGGCGAAAAACCAACATTTGCACGGAATGGACGGAGAGCTGATACCTTGACCACTCGAGGGTACACTTACCTCCTGTCAGTACAGTAGGAATGTTGGCTTTCCCCTTAAATTGGCATTCTTGCCAACAGTCCTGATGAGTGCAAGACAAGAAACCTTTTATTTTCGGCAATCAAGCTGTTTACCACCAAACAACCAAATTGTTCATTTTCCCAACCTTCCTGTAGCAGTGGTGTGAGATAACAGCCATCCACTTGCCACCAGCCTGTGTGCCCATAGAGAGGCCATCTGCCTCAGACTGACCAGGGCAGCTGGATGTGAGGGTATCTCACCCTGGAGTGTCAGGGGCTGCCCCCAAAAATTATGTGCAGCAAGAGAAAATGTCCAGGACTAATGCTTGCAATATGATGGCACTATCTGCAATGTTGGACTTGGGAACAGGAGTTGGCTATTCTGCCCTCTGAACCTGCTGTGCTCTTCGGTAAGGTGGTGGGTGATCCAGTAGCGGTCTCCATCCTATCTATTGGCTCATCTGTCCCTCGTGCCTGTGGCGAAAGACTTCTGTTGCCTGCAACTGTGAAATGAAGGTAGCCAGTCTTCTGGAAACTTGTTTCTGGACCTAGCTCCTAACTGCAACTCTTGATAGTGAAGCAGGGTGGAAAAATCACTGGCGTAGCCATCGAGCTGCACTCTGCAAACTGTGCTCCAATGTGTATCCCATCTCAGTCTGAAAGTCAGGGGCTTGAGACTGACTTCAAACAAGGCTGTAGCAGCACCATGGGAAGGGTGTGCTGGCTGCTTTTGTATTTTGGATAGGACGTTAAAGCAGAAGGGTTGCATGTATCTCTCAGGAGGGTACAACCTATCTTGTAAAAACCGAAAGAGCTGCGGATGCTGCAAATCAGGAACAAAAACAGAAGTTACTGAAAAAGCTCAGCAGGTCTGGCAGCACCTGTGGAGGAAAAAACAGTTAATGTTTCGGGTCCGGTGACCCTTCCTCAAACTATCTTGTGGCTGAGATTGAAGGGAGAGAGAGGCTCTTGTGGTAGTATCCTTACTTCTTGACCAGGAGACCCAGGTTCAAGTCACATCTGCTCCAGAGATGTGAAATAACATCTATGACAAGGTTGGTTTAAAAAATAGCTGAAGAATCTGAGGGTTTGCAGTACTTTTTAAATATCTGACATGGACTGGACAGTGAGACATCAAAAGCATGCAAGCAATGCTACATTAAAGACAAATTTATTTTTGTAGTCTCTGTCCTGGTATATTACCTGGACAAAACGTGTGAATTGGGAGGCACTGTCTCCCATCTTGCTCAACCTTGAGCACAAAACAAGGTTTATTCTAAAGAGGCTGAGGCAAAGGCAAAGGCAAAGGAAACAAAACTTTGACAAAACTCTTGTTCCTCCTCCTGACTCTCCTAAGTGACAGGACTTGGTTATCACCGATACTTGTCATTGTTTCAAGCAGATCCCACCCTCCGTAACGTCAGGCGTATGGTAGTCTCTGCCCAAGTGCTCATTGTCCAATTAAACTTTTGGACTACTGGGATCTGTTAATAGGATTTAAATTGACCGCTCACCTGGGCCTGGACTGTGACTTATTCCTGTATTCATTGACTGTACTTTGGTATATGTGAAACAATAAATCAATGAAAAGTGTTGGTTTACATGCTATACAGGCAGATCGTACCATACAAAGTGCATCAGGGTAGCAGAACAGAGTGGAATACAGTCACAGAAGGTGCAAAGAAAGAGATCTGAAATAAAATTTGAGAGGTCTGTTCAAAAGTCTGATAACATTGGGGAAGAAGCTGTTCTTGTATCTATTCCTATGTGTTATCAAACCTTTGTCTCCTGCCCAATAGAAGAGAGTATTACTGGGGTGGGAGGGGTCTTTTGATTTATGTTGGCCACTTTCCCGAGGCAGCGGGAAGTATAGATGGGGTCAGTAGCTGGAAGACTGGTTTGTGAGACGGACCAGACAGTGTTTGCGACACTATAATTTCTTGCAGTCTTGAGAAGAGCAGTTGCCAAACAACGCTGTGATGAATCCAGACAGGATGCTTTTTATGGTTCATCTATAAAAATTGGGAAGAGTGGTTGTGGACATGCCGAATTTCCTTCGCCTCCTGAGGGAGTAGAGACATTGGGTTTTCTTGATCGTCATATCGACTTGGGTCGAGCAAGGCAGATTGGTGATTTGTCACTCCCAGGAACTTAACGCTCTCGACCATCTACACCTCCACACCATTGATGTAGACAGGGGCACACCCCTTCCTGAGATTTGATCTACAATGGTGGTGTGGTCAGCAAACTTGTAAACGGAGCTGGGATGAAATTTGGCCACACAGTCAAGAGTGTATAAGGAGTATAGTAGGGGACTGAGTATGCAGTCTTGCGAGGGATTATGGTGGAGGAGGTGTTATCACCTATTCTTACTGATTGTGGTCTGTGGGTCGGGAAATCAAAGATCCAGTTACAAGAGGTGGGGGGAGCGAACGGAGCTGAGACCTAGGTCTTGGAGTTTACAGATGTTTGGAATTATGGTGTTTGAAGGCAGAAGTTTAATCAATAAGTAGGAGCCTTACTTGGGTATGCTTGTTATCCTGATGTTCCAGGGATAAGCGTAGAGCCATGGCGATGGTGTCTGCTGTGGATTTGTTGTACCAGGAGCTAAACTGCAAAGGATCAAGACAATTTTGGTAGGCTGGAGTTGATGTGAACTGTGACTAACCTCTTGAAACGCTTCACAATTCGGAACTTCAGGGCCACTGGGCGCTAGTCATTGAGGCACGCTGCATGATTTTTTTTTTCTTTGGCACTGGCATGATGGTGGTCTTCTTGAAGCAAGTGGGGACTTCAGATCGTAGTAGGCAGAGGTTGAAGATGTCTGTGAACATTCCTGCCAGCCGGTCTACACAGGATCCGAGTGCACGACTGGGGAGTCCATCCAGGCTCGTCGCTTTCCATGGGTTAAAATCTTGTTACAATCATGCTGACAGACCTAATGGAGATGTTTTAACCAATATCATGGTGCATTTAAAAATAAACTTTGGTTTAAGTTCTTAAACTTGTCTCGAGCAGTTTCTAAGGGGCACGGCATGAGAAAGGGAAGAGACACATAAGAGAGCTGATTGAAAGGATGGCTGCTAGGAGGTTAAATAGCTGAGTATGGGAAGAGCACCCCAAAAGCAGGCAGCAGTTTGAGTGAGTGTTTTAAAATGTTGCAATTGGGAGGCATTACTGTGGGTTACTCGGCCCAAAGGAATATAGTTGAACAAAATGGATTCAGTGCAGAGATATTGACGAACTTGGCCTTGTAATCATTACAACAGCATAAACTAACAACCCCCTGTTAAATAGACAAATGTTCTTGCAGATCGAGTTGCTAATTCTCCTACCATTGAATCATGCCCTTGGTCTTGATGCTTTGCCAAAAGTCACCTCTCCTCTTGCCACAGAACTAGATTCCCATGTCTGGGTACGTCTCTACCCGGGCCACTGCAGGAACCCAGAGTATTAAAAGTGCCCCTGTCAACTGAGGGGGTGCCTCACAAAGTCCTAGCTTGGTTACATTTAATCCCTCCTTCTGTTAACCAGACACAACTTAAAAGGGGCCTTGGTTGATCCTAAAGGATTAGGAGCTCTGGGAGGGGGGAAAGAATTCCAAACCGTAACAATGCTCAGAGGAAACTCTTCCTCATTGTTATCTTAAACAGGAGGTTCACTATTTTGAAACTGTACCCTCTCCGTTATAGAATCACCCTCGAGGTGACACATCCTCCCTGATCACCGCCTTCAGGATCTTGTACGTTTCAATAAGATCACCCTCTTGTTCTTCTAAACGCCAACGGATTATAGGCCCCGTCTTTGGGGAAGGCAATGGCCAGGTGCTAGACTATTAATCCAGAGACCCATGTAATGTTCTGTGGCCTGGGGTCGAATCCTGCCATGGCCGATGGTGGAAGAGTCTAATGATGACAATGAACCCATTGCTGATTAGTGAACGAGATGGGTTTTCCAATGTCCTTTAGGAATTAGACACTCTGATCTACCTTCAGAGAGCACAGCAATGTCGATATCCTGTGAATAAATGAAAAATGCTGCACCCCAGGAACCAAGTGAATGAAACCTCTCTGAACTGGATGTGTATTGCTCCCAGAGTTAAAAATGTGTTAAATGGAAGAGGTTAATCAAGACATGAGAATGTCTATTAGTGACCAAGTGGGCAACCTGTGTGTGATGTTGCAGGACAGTGGAAGGGTGTTGAATACATACTTTTCTTCGGCCTTCCCTCTGGAAAAGGAGAACATAAGTGGGGAATTCAGGAAAAGGGACTGTGAGCAATGTGCACGGTTTGACGTAGGAAATGGTTCTTTCGGGCCTAAAAGCAGACAAATCCCCTGGCCTGGATGAACTGCATCCCAGGCCGCTGTGGGAGGTGAGGCCATGACACAAATTTTTAATATCGCTGTGGCCACAGAAGACTGGATGATGGCTAATAGCGTTCCACTTTTTAAGATGGGCAGTAGAGATGAACCAGAAAATTAGTGACTAGTGAGTCTCACCTCCAGTGGTAAGGAAATATTAGAGAAAATTCTGAAGGAGTGAATTAATAGTCACTTGGAAAGGCATGGATTGATTAGGGATAGTCAGCATAGCTTTGTCAGTTGGAGGTCATGCCTAACAACTTTGTTAGAATTTTTTGAAAATGTGATCAAGTGTGTGGATGATATAGTTTATATGAATTTTAGCAAAGCTTTTTGACAAGGTCCCACATGGGAGACTGATTGAGGAGGTCAGAGCACATGAGGGAAACTTGGCAAGATGGATTAGAAACTGGCTCAGTAATAGGACACAAACATTAGTGGTAGAAGGCTGATTGAATGACTGGAGGCCAATATCCAGCATTGTACCACAAAGGATTAGCACTGGGGCCCCTATTGTTTTTTATATACATAAATGATATAGAAGAAAATGTTGGGGGGAATGTTAAGAAAATTTGCAGATATCAAGATTGGTAGAGTGGTCAATAGTGAAGATGCTGGTTGTAGGTTACAGGAAGATATAGATGAATTAGTCAGATGGGCAGACCAGAGTTAGATGATATTTAACCCTGATGAGTGTGAGCTGATGCATTTTGGAAGAAGAAACAAGATGAGGGAATATTTAATAAATTGCACGACACTGGATAGCTTAGAGGAACAGAGTGATCTTGGAGTACTTATTCGCAGAGCACGTGAATATGTCAGATAAGAAGGCATATAGGACACTTGCTTTCATCAGCCGTGGCATAGAGTATTGGAATTATACAGGGAGTTGGTCAGGCCATAACTGGAGTGCTGTGTGCAGTTCTGGTCACCTCACTGTAGGAAGGATGTGATAGCACTAGAGGGGGTATACAGAAGGTGTACCAGGTGTTGCCTGGGATGGAGAAATTGAGCTGCAAGGAGAGACTAGATAGGTTAGGGATTGTTTTCTTTAGAGCGGAGAAGACTGAGGGGGAACATGATTGAGGCATATAAGATTATGAGGGGTATGGACAGGGTGAATAGAGAGCAGCTGTTCCCCTTGGTTGAGGGGTCAGTCACAAGGGGAGCAAAGTTTTAGGGTAAGGGGCAGGAGATTCAGAGGGGATTTTGAGGGGAAAAATCCTTTTCCCTCAGAGGCTGGTGGGGATCTGAAATGCAAGGCCTAGGAAGGCAGTGGAGGCTGGAAACCTTAACCTCTTAAAAAAAATTCGATGAGTACTTCAAATATCATTAACATTCAAGGGTATGGGACAAGTGCAGGAAATTGGGGTTAGGGCACTTTTAGTGGTAGTTGTGTCGGTGTAGACTCGATGGGCCTTTTCTGCACTGTACGAATCCTATGAAAGTTAGGAGGCGAAACTGGACACACTGCTCCAAGAACAATCTCAACAGTACCCTGGAGCAAGACCTCCGGACATTTCCATTCCATCCCTCTTGCAATAAAGACCAACAATCACTACGCCTTCCTTACTCCTTGATGCCAACATTTTTTTTTTAATTAATGTACCATGACACTCAGACTCCTCTGTACTGTAGTTCCTCTCCATTTAGATAATATCTTGCTTTTTTACTCTTCCTGTCGTAGTTGATCCATTCAAAGACATTTTCTGGTGCAGAACATGTTAAAACAGGAGTTTCCAGACACAGTATTTTTGGACTGGGCAGCCTGGTGCCATAGATCAATCTGGAACAATTCATAAATCGAGCTGAAGTGAACAAATGAAACGTCCCATGTGATACGGAAATGTGGTCTGCAACATTTCTAACTGTACAGCTTGTACAGTTTGAGACTGAGCAGGCCACTGCCACTGGAGATATTAACCAGCACCCTCGATAAACTGGCAAAAATTATACACCTCAAATACCACATAGTTTACCGTATTATTCTGTCCAATTATTATAGCTTTTAAAAATTTATTTAGCTCAATGTAAATATACTTCTTGCTAAATCGAATAGCCACACAAAATCTCAACAATTGATTTAACGCTGAGTTACCATGATGTCCGAGTAGCCAGTTGAGGGTGTGAGTGAGAAGGCTCCCTGTCGCTAAGTTTTATTTAAGGCAAAGTTGCATTATTATTTAAGTGATTTATGCTGTAAATGAAGTATAACAGTGATGTTTATACTGTCTACATTACATTTCTCTTATTTAGTCTGTGTTTTTATATTATGTGGACTTCTCAATTTTCTAGAATATTGGATCAATCAGCACACTCCTGGCCCCATAGGTGCCAGTTAATAAAATATTTGCTGTAGTTCTAAGTGGTCAGTGAAGCTCTCTGCTTATAAGGCTGGGACATTTTTCCACTGGAGCACAGGAGGTTGAGAGGTGACCTTACAGAGGTTTATAAAATCATGAGGGATATAGGGTTAATAAGTAGGTGTCTTTTCCTTAGGAAACGGGATTCCAAGACTAGGGGGCAAATTTTTAAGGAGAGAGGAAGAAGGTTTTAATTTACACAGAAGATGGTTTGCATTTGGAATTAACTTCCACAGGAAATGGTGGATGTAGGTACAATTACAACGTTTAGAAGAGAGAGAAGTACGTGTTTAGGAAAGATTTGTATGGATATGGGCCAGGGGCAGGCAGGTGGGACTAGTTTAATTTGGGATTATGGTCAGCATGGACTGGTTAGACCGAAGGGTCAGTTTCCGTTCTGTATGACTCTGACCATGAAGCAGAGAGAGAAGTTTTTAACCAAAAACAATGCAATTTATCTTAACAGAGTGATAAGATTTAAAATGGTCTGTCCGTGAGAGTGCAGAGGTAGAAATTTTCTGTATTGACTGTGTTTAAACACCAGATATAATATTTCCAGAAAGTTCTTTTCCTGAGCCCATCCTCCAACAGACCGCACAGAAATAGCTGTCTCCAATCTTCCTTTTATTTACACCATCCATTCACAGAAAAAAAAGAAACATTACATTCATTAAAAAATTGTTACTTGCAAAAATGTGTTCGTTTTTGCCTGAACAAGAATTTGTACATAAGAAGGAAAAAAAAAAGGATTCACATTGGAGGTGTCTGGGATCTGCGGTCAGTCACTGGTGACTATAGGAACACAAATCTCTGGCTCATCAACTTGTGCCAACTCACAGACTTCCATCGACGCTGTGCAACAACAAAGACAATGCTGGCGAGAACCTGTCTATTATGGTAGCAGCAGAAAGGGATCAGAGGGCACGGTTAGTGTTAGACCTGAAGTGGGGCTGTGTCAAGGGCATTCCGCCAGGAGAGGATCCTCTCCAGCTGGGACCCGCGTGCAGGATGTACCCACTCTGTTTCGCTCCTGGCAGCTTTGCCTTTTCAAACCTGGTGGGGCAGAGAGCTGAGTAAAAAGGTCAGTGTTGGGGTGGGGGAAAGAGTGCATCATCAGGAGCTCCCTGTGTTGGGGCAGTTAGCGGCTGACTCTGGGTCACAGGGTGCTTGCACCTTCCAAAAAAAAAAAGGGTGGCTGAGAGAGGCACAGGCAGAGAAAGACAAGGGTACGAAACACAAGACAGCCTTTTAGAGCGGCAGTGGCTCTTGGCTCCCTG